TGTAGACTATAATTATCATGCATCTATTTAACATCAGGCAATCAGAGTGTTTGATCTAATGTATTTCAAAATCTTAGAGTTCCTAACAAAAAAGATTTAGCCTCCTATTGGATTTCAGCAGCTAACCTTTCAGAGATTTGACATATATTTATAATTTGAGACTTATTTGATCTTAATAATAATCATTAATATACATTTCTTCTCTTCGTTTATTTAAAAGTGCTAAAAAGCCAACTTGATGATCATTAATTTTAAAAAAAAATGAAGAAGAAATTTTGCTATAAATTTGAATATTTTCTGAGAATTCAGAGTTTCTTGATCAAAACAGAGTAAAAAATCACTCAAAATACTATTTTTAAAAATTTTGCCTGCTCTAACACAAAAAAGCAAATCAAGAGCTAGTAATGCATGAGAGAATTTGTTATCATTCGTTTTCTTCCGTTGTCTTACAACTAAAAAGCTCTGCTTGGAAAAATCATCTCAGTTGACATATTTCTACATCCTATCAGTTCAGAGACCTTATGCATCAACGTCGCAGAAAACAGTTCTATGATGAAACAACGGAAATGAAAAACTCCAATGCTGAAACAATTCATCATGATGCCCTTAACAGAAGCATTCTAAAAAGATACTTAACCTAAATTTGAACATGCACTTGTTTGTAAAGCTTACGTAATGAACATTTTTCAGCATTTAAAAAAAATCAAATAACTAGAACAGCAACGCGAAGAGGTATAAAATCTATCAGGAAAAGTCTTGCTTTGATACTTCTATGCCAAAAATTAAAAGTACACATGTTAATATTCTTTTTTTCTTAAAAAATTTCCTATATAACCATATTGCCAAAGGGGCAATACATGTAGTCAACCTTGATTTGAGATATTAAGAACAATAGGCTTACTAATTACAACATTTAACCTGATTCCAAATAAACCTTATGTATTTGACATTTACATCAAAATTTCTATTTCCTTCAGCGACAAATCTGTTTGTTCCCAATGGATTTAATTTTCATGTCCAAATATTTCAGTTGGTTTATTTCCGTAATCAAATCCAGTGAGACATTTTGCATTTTTATTAAATTTACAGAAAAAAATTCGAGCAATTTATTCAGACAGAAATACAAACAAGTGCGTCATTAACAGATTAATTGAAAGATGTGAAGTAACCTTAAATTTACACAAGATCAAATTAGAAACTCGAAAGCATGTTGAACAGTTCCTAATGCATTAGATTATCTTTCGATAGAAAAAGTCTAGACAAACAAGCCCTAGTAAACAAGTTGTATAGAAGAGAAAATCTGAATGATACGTATATTAAAGCGTTACATCGATGCCAAATTCAAATCTTTTCGCTATGCGAGCTCATCTATTAGCCATTCCCTCATCACGTTCAAAGATAGTCCAATATACATGCCCTTAAAATATAAATTGGAGAGACATGATAATTATTTAATAACTAGAGGTACTGTGAGCACATACCTTACTAAATGTTTCCTCCTGTCTCCCAAATGGTTATAATGGCGAAATCCATGTTTTGCTTTGGGAGACCCGAAATAAGCGTCAAATCAAAAAGTATAATAGGTCAAAATGGCACTATGTAACAAAGATTCTGTGAAAGTCCCGTCATTTGAATTCAGTGGTAAAGAGGATAAGAGATAGGTACCCTAAAGCGTAACATTTGGACGGACATCTTGAGTACTATATGTCCTCCCACTTTTCAAGCTGAAGTATAATAAGTACGATTAAACTTGCTTCTGGTAATAAGTCGTCCGCGTGGCGCAGTGGTTAGAGCGTCTGCTCTAGATTCGCGAAGTAAGAAGTTGATCCTTACGTCGCGGGTTCGAATCCCACTGTGGGATGTGGAGACTGGTCCTTCGGATAAGACCTTATAAACCGAGATCCCCTGTCGCAGTAGGTGCTGGCACGAAAAAGGATCCCTCCCTACACAGTGGCTCTAATATGCCGAATATAGGACAAAATTTGCAGCTCTCCACCGGCAAGTGGTGGCGTCGGTCTCCATATGAGTGAAAAATTCTGGAAAGGGACGTTAAACAATATACAATCAATCAGTCATTGCTCCTGACTGTTCCTCCTTGACATTTACGTTACTGGTAGTTTTAAAGGAAAGCAATAACCACATAAAGATATTATGGAAGACGTACCTATTTTATAATAAAAATAAATATTATGCCTCAGAGTCTTTAAAATTCATGACTATCAAAAAACTAACTTTTGATATCCTTAAGTCCCAAAGTAGTTCTGTTTGAATCCGATTTTGGAAAAAGAGGATTGAGCCTCAGCTTATAACAATCATTATTGGTTTCATTAAATTATATCACTATTAATATTGTAAATTACTTTATTTCAGAATAATTTCATTTTTGCATTATCATACTATACGATGTGCTGCAAACATTTCAGTCTCATAAAATAATTCTCATTAAAATTCATTTTCATAAAATACTGAAAATAATTTTACACTACGTAAACCTTACAAATATATTCTTGTTACAATTCAATTTTAGGTTCAGTATTTCTTATTCCTTTGAAATATAAACTTGAATGTCATGGCTTTGATTTTATTTTCCTCAAATCATCAAAACATACTGATAAAAAGATTTATAAGAAAAGGACATTTCTTGCACACTATCAGACGTTCTACTCTCATGATAGAAAACATTTATGCTCGGTGATCCTGATTAATTATTGTATAATTTAATTAACAGAGCCAATTTTGTACCTCGTCTTGAAAGGATGATCTATTTACATAAAAAATGATGGAACAATATGAGAAAGGGTCACTTAACTTTTCAAAGAAACATTACTCAGAAGCGTGCGTTTCGGTCATTTTTCATTCATCTTAATGGGAAGTTCTTGCAAAGAGGAAAACAATATTGAATAGCTAATCTCCGAGTCATTTTTCATTCACCCTGAGGGATAGAAGGCAGCCATGGTGGCTCTGTTATTGACAGGTCAGAAATTTTGTCACGAAACCGTCAACATTTTTTGAGACCATTTTTTTTCATAACAACTGACCTACCCTGCTTGTGTCACATTAAAAAAGTATATTTTTCTTTACATTATTATTTTTTTAAAAAGATATATAATGATTATTTGGTATTTTTAGTGACTTGTATTAAGTGCGGTATAATGTCATGCATTGAATAAAAAAAAAATAAATCTACAAAAAACATTCATTCAGCCTATAATGAAACATATGGAGATAACGAACAGTATTCAAGATCAAAAGTCCATAAAACAATACAACAACAGGAGCAGAGCAAACACGTACTCCCGAAACACCAGAGGTGGGATCAGGTGCCAAGCAGGAGTGAGCTCCCCTGCCGCCCCGTTACATCCGCCATGTCACGTAGATTACTTATCATTTTTTCCCCATGAATTGGTAATAGGAGTACGTAAAATACAGTGTAGAACGATTCCTTAAAGTACAAGAGTACATAATGTAAATCATATGCATTTTTATATAATACAATATCTCTCTTTGGTATCCTGGTCGCTATTTAATCTGTCTTTATATATTAGAATGTAGTGCTCAAATATTTTTTTTTTTTTAGAATTTTACTTCGAAATTGCAAAGTACTCCATAAACTTCCCAAAACGTTTTAGAAATTCGAGAGATTGAGTTTCAAATCAATTAAAGAAAACATAGTTTGGACTTCCAACATACAGTCATTTTCTTAATTAGAAATGAGATTTTGTTAGCATTAAGAAGAGAATATTTTATTTGCATATCAATTTCTAAAATATTAAGCTTGTATAAAGGTATGTTAATAATTCTTAGAACCTGTTTTCTAAAAGCCCTGTTTATTAGTTGGACTCGACAACCTTTTACAATGTTGTGAAATTCCGTCATGAGTTAATGTGAAATTGTTTTTCCTTTTCCTTTCGTGATTAATATTATGGTTTGCCTACACGATTCCAAATGTGGCTCGGTAATTATCAGTTGAGATATATAAATGCTATTCTGCAGATCACTCGTCAAATCAACCATCCGTCTTTTGAACACTTTGGTACACATTTTCGTTTTAATATAACATTTATGCAAATCATACAAATAAATAAAACCATCAACACATAATAAACTTGCCCGGAGGAAAATTACCTCACGATATTTTCACAATATAAAATGGCTGTATTTTGTTTTACAAGTTGAATAAATGAACCTAGACGACATCCTTATTACCGAGAAACAGACTTTTAAAAAGCATTTTATACAACAACTTTAATTTATTCCAAAGAGATCATAAATATAATCACATAATAAAAATTCCGAATTTTACATTCAAGAAGTTTCCACCAAAACTGTCAAGCTTTTTAAAACTCCTACATGTTACTTTTTAAAAGTATATAACACTATCATAACTCGATATCCCACATCTGTTATTTCAGAGGTCCGTGATAACTTTGCTCCAAAATTTGTATTGTTTTAAATTCTTTTGAGCTAAATACTGTTCGTTTTTTTTTCAGTATATTTCCCGGTATAATTTTCGTTGTCCTGTGATTTATGTCTAGTACGTATGTCTGGAACCATTCACCTTCCCTCAGACATATTCAGACTTGCTTTACAGTTAAAGTCACTTGGCAACTGACATCGTGCCTGAATTTTGCATATATTAACCTAATCCGACCTCTGATGTTCTGTAGGACCGTGTTTGCTCTGCTCCTATTTTGTATTGTTTAATGGACTTACTGTTCGTTATTTCCATATATTTCGTTCTACATGTCCTAGACATCGTTTTTCTAAGCAGCTCTCAATTACACTGCACATATAACCCAGAGTTATACTATACATTTTTCCACATAAAATATCAACTCAAATATGGGATATTCAGTTAAGAGAAATATGATCATCCCGTCACCTCAAGAAAACGTCCCTATACGTATAATATCTAGTATATAGGAATACAATTGACATTATAAAAAAATGAAGATACCAAATAGTCATTTACCTTTCTTTAAACAACTATAATTATGAACATGGCAATGAAGACGATTACCGAGAAACTCCAGAGAAGAGATCGGGTGTCTAGAAGGCAAAGCATCCCCTGTCGATTGGACAAGCCCTCGATGAGACTCTATGGTGATCAGGTAAATGTATTGATTTGAAATCAAAATAAAAACTCATACAAAGCAATTTTGCCTTCTCTATTACCAATTATTTAACATGTTTAATATAGAACTGCGATTTTAAAATAAAATTCAAAAAATATCTGCATTTCAAAGTTTGATTGTTTCCTTTTTTGTAAATTTTTCTTACATGTAAAAATTGATCAAAGAAACTAAAATATAAAATTTTCATGACAGCCGGAGATTGTGATTCGTTAATGCCATGAACTGCTTAATAAATGTTTATGTTTGCAATTTTCAAAAATCTGAATCGTATTATGATTATACTTCTCAACAGTAACGTAGCAAAACTTTAATCTTATAACAATATATATATACTTAAATTTGGAAAGTTTAACAATTTTGAGTTTTTCTGAACACCTATTGTTTCTTTCGTCCGTCTGATTGTCCGTCCGTCTGTAAGCTTTCCATATTTTTTTTATCTTTTCTCAAAAATCACCGGGTCAAACTTACCTGAAGTTGATACAAAAAGCATCCTCGGGAGAAAGGGAGTTTTAATAGTGAATAACTTGAACGGCCAAGTTCTCATTCAATGGGCGATTATCAAGAGACAAAAATAATGTGGGTTCATGAAAGAAACCTCTAGACATTATGATGAACTTGTGTTGTTCAAAGCTCCCTGTGGCACTGCCAATTTTAAATTCTTCAAATCATTGCACCCGGGGTAAGGGCGGGGCCACAATAGGGAATGAAAGTTTTACATCAAAAGATATTAGGAAATCATCAAAAATATTCTTTTCGATAACCACTGGGCTAGAATATCTGAAAATTATGTAGAAGCCTTCTGGGATAGTGTAAATTAACAATTAAAATGTTAGTCCCTGTAATAGGGTGGGACTACAATAGGGAATCAAAGTATTACAGGGAGTAAAAAGTTACTTCGAAGATCTTTGTGGCCCTTATTCTTTTTGTTTATATGTGGTTTTGTTGAAAGCTATTTTAACTTCAAGATTAAGCCAAATTTGAAGATTGCTGAATACCTAATTCCATGGTTTGCTTAACCAAGAGAGCAACGAAATTTGGTTGTTCAACCAAAATAATGATGTAATCACAAATAGTGATTATTTCTTTCTTATTTACAAGATTTTGAAAGGATCACCGTTTTATTACATTTGTAATTATAAAGGTTTGAAAGAATTTTAATTATTAAAAATATAGGAAATGAGAATAAAAAAAGGTTTGACTAAGAAAAAAAAAAGATTTCTATTATTTTTAAAAGTATCATTTTTTCAATATGAAAATTCCCTACAAATCGAATTACCGGTATTAAACTGCATAAACAACTTCTTAAAATGACCTTGAATATTCCTTTTTCGCATATTTATAACTGATGATAAAGTTGTCCACTAATCGCATCAGTTTTAATCTTAAAATTACAACCTGTTTTTGTCTCTTCAAAATATCAATACAGTAATCTTCATTTTCAGACAGAAGCAATTTGTTTAATCCAACAAATCTTTTATTAAATCAATTGCCTCCTTTGGTTGATTGATGATTTCCAATTTTGTGCAAAACATTTCACCAAACAAATTGACTTTTGATACGAACATCGCTTCAGGAAAAGTCGACCCCAACACGTTGCCTTTTAGATAAAGCTATCTCTTCTATAGCATGGGCTAAAATTGTTCCCATAATAAGTCTCGAACCTGGTGAATATGGTCATAACTACCTAAACAAAATCAGAGTTTACAAACAAATATCTTAAAGTTCTGGCAATATTTTTTAATGTGAATAACATTACAAAAATTATTACAAGACCCACAATATACATGTATTTTCCCTAAATACACTCCATCACTGCACTTCGATTTGAATATGCGACTTCGTTATAAACAGGTATTCGATCTAGTTGTCTTCCATTTTTTTATCTTTTTCGTATACAAGCTCTATTGTTAGGATTGTTATATGACTCGTAAAATCCGTACTACGCCTGATGAAAATACATTTAATCGAAGGTATAAGTTGTTCTCTTTTTTACCTTGTAGTTAACAGTCTACAAAATGAAAATTGGTTTAGTCACAAACATTTAGTTTCATTTGCGTTTAACCGTTTTAGACTAGCAGCAAGGAATATTGTTTTTAATTTCCGTTAGAATGTTAAAAGCCCCATAATTTCAAGAAAATCAGCATCCCAAAGGAAGGCCCGAGGGTAGCTTACGTTTCCATTGCTAATAAAGGCCTCTTCATTAAAAAACTTGTCGCGGTCATACAAACCAGAATTAGCAGCAGGATTTTATAGTTTTCGTTTATGGATCGTGTGATTAAAAGTCATAAAACAAATCCTTCGCTATTCTTCTTCAGTGATCTGGATGTATATCGAAACGGCACCCAGAAGTAGCATTACTTTAAGGTGACATAAATGGTACGTCGGGCCTATAGTGTGCTTTTGTGGTTGAAGTCTTTATGAGATAACTTGCCAACTCTATAATTTCCTGCTGAATAGGTTCATTGGGAGTTCAATTTACATTTATGACTTTCTTTTTGATAAGGATTCATCCTTTGGATTGTATACTTGGCTTTCAAAAATGTACTGAACATAGGTTCCTTGTTATAGTTATACGCAATTACAAAATTCCAGAAAATGATTCTTGAATACAATGTATAATTTAAAAAAAAAGACTCCTATTAAACTCCTTTCTTGAATTTTAGTACTGTAAAAATAAAAAAAAGGCGAAATATTTAATTTCAAAGGTGGTGATTGACAAATGTTAATGTATATGTAATAAATTCTTCGTTCTCAGTTTGTTCAGAAATCAACATTAAATCAAAACATTTCTTTTTGTTTTTATTTTAAGTCTAAGATTGAGCCTTAAAATTTTTCAAATGACTAAATAAACTAGAGGTACTGTGAACAATGAGCTCACTAGATGATACCTCCAGGTTCCCATATGGTTATAATGGCAAAGTCCATGTTTTGCTCTGAATGACTCAAAATAAGTGTCAGATTAAAAAGTGAAATAGGAGGTCAACAATGGCTTTATAGAATAAAGTGATATTTATACGTTGTTGGCGTTCTGTGAAAGTCTCATAAAATTTTATTCAGTGGTATAGGAAGAGTTGCGGATAAGAGATGGCTTCCCTTCATTATTGCAGAAAGAGTGTCCATGTTTTGCAAAGGAAAACCTGAAATATCGGTCCGATCCAAAAGTAAAAAGAAAAGATGAACTATCGCAGTATGTTACAAAGAATCTAAAAGTCTCATAAAATTTCATTCTGTGGTATAAGGGGAGTTTCGGATGAGAGATGACCATCGGTACCCCAAAGTGTAAAAGACGGACGTACAGACAGAAGGACGGACATCCCATTCACTATATACCCTCCCTCTTTTCAAGAGGGGGTGTAATGATTATAATTATTTATCCCTGTGTTTAATCATGAAAAATATAATTCACCGTAAGATTTTCTCCTCACGGTAGTTAACCTGGTAATAAATGACAACAAAATTCAAAAAATTAAGTGGTATATATTTCATCGTTGCAGAGAAATTTTAATTTTCACATAGTACTAAATTAAAAAAAGAAACAATGATTAAAAGAAGACAAACGCTTTTTTAAATAAGGCTCACGAGTTTTTATTTCAGATCAAAGGATTAATAACGTCATAACAATTAAATCCAAAATTAAACTAGGCAATGAAATTCAGAGTCAAGTATCTATTTATCACAGACTTGGAATGCATGAAGAGCTAGGTCGGTGAACGGAGTTCACCATTCTTTTGTAGGTCAAATTTAAAAAAAAGCCTCAAAAAAGTCATCATTTTGATCCAAAGTGGAACTCTTACAGTGAATCGTGCTATGGGATTTCTTGTATTCTTAAGTGTATAATCAAAGTATGCAGTTGTGAAGATTATGCAATACAGTGCTACATTTAGAAAAGCCATATAATGAACCATGAATCACCCTTTCGTAATGTTTTTTTTTTCAGCTTATTAATTGCATATATTGATATAACTAAAAGAAACTTATCTTCAACCAAAGTTCTCATGAACAATGAGTTTCAATTTCATTTTTTACAAAACTTTGGAAAATGACATTTAAAAAATAATCATTAATCCTCTATCATGTTAAAAAAAACTCTTGATGCGACCTTTACCTTCGATTTCATTGGTAGTAATTGCCAAATATCAGAGCTGCGCGATAATTGGTGCGCACTGTTGGCATCTTCATCTGTTCTGCTTTCAAACACCAAAGATCTTTATGATTCTTAGGTCAAGACATCATTTTCACTTCAGTTATTTTGCATTATCGTCTTCTCTGATGAAGGTCAAAAGCAATTTGTTCCTTTAGTTGGCTTTAGATGACTCGCATCGTTAACAAAGTTATATGTTATTGACCTTTATTCTCCATAGATCAAATCTCAGATGAAACACTACAATCGAGCTTTGCAGTGGTTGAAGATAAAAGACTAGATAATATCAACGAAGCTCGCAGAAATATATACAAGAGGTTTGCTCTGATCTTGAATTCCCTCAAATTTTATGCATCTTTGTGTAATTTATGTGTTAAAATTGTTTTAATACCGGTAAAAAAAACAACTAAATGATAAGATAAAATGCAAAAACTATTGCAAAAATTATGAAGGAGAAAATAACCCAATGACATAAACATCAGGATTCTACTTTTGTACACTGCTTGTAAGTCAATACTGAAAAAAGTCGATTTAACAAATATAGCAACACGTCTTTCTACCAAGATTGACCTTTAGAATTCCGTGATGACAGAGATCAATGGAGTAGGTAAAAGATTATTGCTTTATGTTTCGTTCGAGAATTTTTCACACATATAGAGACGTGACTATACGAGGGTTGTTCGAAAAGTTCGTGGACAACTGTCATATCTTTTTTCTTTGACGTCATATGCTATCCAAATTTGGTAGAAATATTTTACAATAAATCCAAAATGATTTGTATTATTATTTTTTTAAATATAATAATTTATTTAGAACTTATCCAGATTTTAAAAAT